TCTTCCCCGCCAGTTCCAAAAGTCACAGACTGCGTCAGGGGCGCTCTTCTCACCTTTCAAGCAACACGAGTGACGTTGAAGGCTATGCAGTTGGCTTGCAAGCTTACTCTACTTCAAACTGCATCCGACCTACCGTCCGAATGTGTTCTTCCACCTGGTCAGTTGATCTGTCTCTTATTCGCTCAGTTTCTGTCGAAATCATCCTCGTGTTCGGATAATGCGGAGTCGCCTTCTGAGAATGGACCCTGGTTTTTGACTTCCACCGATATCTCTCCTGAAGAACTTCGGGTGAGTACTGTTTATTGTCCAAGCCTTCTTCTAGACTTGGACTGAAGCCTTCATCTAGAATACCCATAGCCGCACTTGTGTGCTAATCTGTCCTACCATTCTGCGTTCAGTGTGATGCCATCGTCTCCTAGAGATAGCTGGAGATAACTCCGTGGTTAAGGCGCGAGCTTACTGACGAGGAGATCGGTAATTTGAAGACAACCTCTGCATCTCAGTTGCTCCTGATGATGATAGTGGTGGTACTATCTAGGCTTTGGCAACCTGGCAGTATCTCAGCCCTCGTGCTTCCTTCAGGTAGCGTGGCAGCTAGGCACCGAAAGGGTGTCATGGCTGAACGATTATTACTTCCTTACAATCCGGTCATATCCATAATACTACCACCCAGGTCATGTACTTCAATGTTTGTCTTAAAAATTCGGCATGCGCTGGATCGAAGTGACTCACAAGTGACTCGGCTGGTGAACTTGCTTTGAAATATTTGCAAGCAGTTTTAGTTGCAGCCATCTGTCGAACAAAATATGTTGGCGCCTAGATGTATTGAGATAGTGTCTATTCATGTAATCAAGAACGCTCTGCTTCTACCTTCACATTTATCCCCGACACTCCCTCTATAACAGTGATGCTCACCACAGCTTGAGGCCGGCAACCTTTCAGCAACATTAGTATAGGTCCTCGACACGTAGCTGTTCTCTTATTTCTCTTCCTCTCGGCAAGCAGAACCACGGTAGCTCGAAGCACCGTAGAATGGAAGCATTGGAGGTTGTACCTCTAGCGTATAGTTTTACGTCACTTTAAGGTCATCTTAGTTATCACTGAGGATCATATCTGTCCTCTGAAGCTAACCCCTTCCAGCTTTACTGCGGGGAGTTGACTTTTTCTCGTGCTTTGCTATTATTTCTGCCTTTCCCATTCAACAGCATACCTACTCGTTATTGGTTCAATTCTTCAGTGCTTTCCCTGAATACGCACCCAATCTCTATAAATTGAGGCTGACTGACTTCGTCCAATTAGGTAGGTTGGTTGTCATCAGTTTCAGATGTTCCAAAGGTGGTAATCCAGTTTTTTTTACTCCACACTGTCTGGTTTGTATAACCGCTTTGCCTCAGACAGTTTCTATAGTGAAGCCTCGGAAGTTGAGCGCTGTTTTTGTTTTCCGTGGTGATGGGTAACCTGGTTGTTTAACCTTTCGCCTCTCATCTCCGAGACTTCAAATTGACAAGCCTGATACCGTGAAAAGTTATTGGTGATAATCGAACTACCTGCAAGTACTCGGATCTCATAACTACTTGGACGATTGGGTTAATGCTCGAAAATCACTTCAGCCATGGCAACCTTGGGGTCAGAAACACCATTTCACTAGGAGGTCAACATTACGGACTGTCCGTGGAAATCTCATATGTTCTATCCCACGGAATCCATCAGTCTAGGACGTTTCAGCACACAAGGTGTTTTTTGGTCTAGTCGAATCCAGTTATCAATCAGAACAAGGTGCAGAAACATGTCTCGAGCGCCTCTAGTCTAGTTTACATATCCGCTCACTGAGTCCCACGTATAAGTTTTGGCTATCGATTTGTGTTTGATATGTCCGGTAGGCAAGCTCCTACCGAAGTGACAGCAATGCAGTTCATCGTCATTCTACAACTTCAAGGTTCTGCTCGGCCTCACTGTGTGTGGCTCGTTCAGTGCGAAACTGTGCACGTACGTCTTGGACGTTGTTAGAAAACTCCCGTTTTGGAGGACAGGGGATCAACAATTCGGGAAAATGTGAATTCATGGGCCTCTTTTTGAAATGCAGTACACATGAGTCTGCAGGACGCTTTACACCTCATACCTAGTTAACAAAAGCCCCAAGGGGTGTGTTGACAAAACGGTCACTTTTGGTACTTTTTGGTACTTTTAGCTTCTGATAAAGTGTTTTGCGTCCCGTATTTTCCAGTGACGAAACTCTAGCATGGTTCACCGTCCATCGTTTGCTGTTCTGCTTATTTTATTGTTCACTATTTTGTTGAGGGATGTCTTGTGAGGTAAGTAGGCGTAACTTCCAGACACTGATCCAAGGATAACTTGCAAGATAGCAAAAGTGTGGGAAGTGTCGACCTGATCTACTCTGGGAACAAAATCCCTGAACTTCATCATGGTTGTTATGCCTTGAAGGCGACTGTCCCTTGCTAGATTGACCACGTCACAGCCATTTTAATCTCATCGAAAAAGTCATACTTTCTCCTACTCTAACAATATTCAGGCGACGTTTACCAGAACCAAATCCTATGTAAACAGTAACTGGGAACAGTTGATAATCACACATTTCATTCACACATCGTTTGAAACTCCCAACGCTGCTACTACAGGTAGTGTGTCATTCTTCAAAACATGGCTAATTCCATCATGAATCCGACAAATCGTAGGAGGTGCACCTTGACTGCACTTCATTGCTTTCCGCCCTAAAGGATGCCACGTGTTGTGAGATGAATTGTCTTTTCAAGATGTTCTCATCAGACATTCGAACAGTTGAGTAGTACCTGTACCAATAGATGCTAATCATTCGTAACGCAACATCCCAACGGGTTCACTCCGAGAAAATCCGGTTCGTAATGGTAGCGAACACCAGTGTTGTGTCTGTACATCATTGCTTATGGAGGAGAATACTCGAGTGTACTGAATACACACAATCAAACTTTGCATTGGCTTTTGCGCCGCGCATTCGGCTGATGAACACCACGAACAAGAGAATCATTCGAAGTTAGATAGAACCTCCCGTTCGCCTCGGTACACAGATGAGTGGTATTGTGTACTTCGGTAGCTGTCCCAGTAATCCACGAACCTGTTACAAGAGATTGGCATCGAATGTGCCTTTGATCAATTGCAGCAGTATACCGCTTTATGCGTACTTTTCACTGGATGGAACAAGGATGCAAGGCCCACGGATGTGGCAGATCGCTTGTCTGAGATTTGGAGCGCACTCATTGCAAGCACCTGGCTTGGAGGACACTTCAATAAATGACACACCCGGTTCATACAAGCGGTTTTCAGGCAGCTATGACCCCCAATGAGTGTACAGCTCACACAAAGGAGCGTCGAAATCCCGCTTACTTGGGTACGGAGACCGCTATTCAGAGAGCCAAGCGAACACTTATGATTTTCATCCCCCATATTGTTTTTCCTTGACTGGTCAGATACAAAGACGTTAGCGAAACAGTTCAAAAAGCAATGTTGCATTCAGTCGATTGCACTGCCTTTTGGTGGTCCCTCTTCAAGGGTGTTCCAAACATCATCACAGTTCAACGCCCGTGGATGCCTGAAAATCGGCGAATAGCCGGGAAATAGGATAAGGGGTCTTTTTTCGACACACTTTTATGCTCAAAGGTCACATTGTGGTTGAAGCGTAACGAGTGCGCCCATCTAGTATCTCTATCTTTAGCATTTAGTTCTAATGCTTTCGGAATTTGTACTGTGTAAATATCATGTGGGAACATCAGAAATTTTAGTTTCATACTTTCTATCTGGAAATGAAATAACCTGTAAACTGAGTCGGGTCGACAATTGCCGCCTCCTTGGGTGGAGATCCTGGGAGTGAACTCATCAATGGTTAATGACACCGGCAGAAATGGCCCAATCACGCAGTCGCTGGTGCTCGTACACCAAAGCTATTGCGTTCAATGAGTAGCTACCTAGTTCCCGAACAAACGAACATACCATCGCCTCAAAGGCTTGGCTGTACGTCTCACACTCCCGATTTCCGGTGATCGAAACTGTAGCAGCTGGAACCAGTGTGCCTACGATACATGGTTTAACTAACCTGGTTGGTTGCCACAAGATCAGTTCGAACCAATTGATTCACAGTTGTTCTTGAAATAGTAGTTGCTTTCCTTCCAATAAGCACACGCATCTCTAAGGTGTACGTAACGCTGCAAACTCCAAAATCCCAATTTTTGTTATCAAAGGTCATCGACAGGTCTGTTTTCCTCCGTAAATTTGCACAGATGGTGGTCCTCGTGGCGGCATTTTGTGCGAATTTCTCAGCACTCTGAAAACTCGCTTGCCTTCGCTATTCTGTGATAAAGCACCAACATTTCTGGCGCAGCTTTGCAATCGAGTATCGGAGAACAATAACGGTACGAGCGATGTTGGTTCCATCCTGTCTGCCAGCGGCCTATTGTTTCAACTGAGCGAGCGTTCTATGTTATCGGCGAAGGATCAGGAATCATTCCTTTTGGCCGTTGCTCACTGCGTTTCGCGACGAGGAGCTTCTTCATCTCAGCTACCCACGTGGCTCGCCTATCAGTTGGCTCGACAAGCAAATCGCTTTGGCCAACATGATCTTGCTGCCAGGATTTACACGAATCTCGTCCCGTTGGTACGCATATATTCATCTTACCCCAACGTTTTCCTGTACATCGCGTACAAAGTTTTACTCCTGTTGGTGTAAGCATAGCCGAACTGTTGCACTGGACTATTACCGATCGAAATAAACGGCATATATTGATTATGTCATAGCTCACAGTGTTGTAGTGTAGTGTAGTGTATAGTGCCCAAAAGCAGTAGTTTTTGTGTTAGCACTAACCGCGCGTACATCAGCTTTACTTCATCTAGCCCTATCAAAGCCCGCTATTGAACAGTGCCGTATAGCTCTCACTAGGGAGACTACTCACAAGGTTGCTAAAAATTCATCGACAGTCCAGCAACCTTTCCTGTATGGAAATATATTACGATATCTCGAATATCGTACCAACTGGAACATGAGGCGACCTGTGGGCAACACATTCAGTTGAAGAGTATCGTAAACGAGGGATTCTCTCGCGTCTCCCGTGAAAACCAAACTGATATGCGAATGAATGTGCTTGTCGAAATTGCCGTATAGCTGTTGCAAAACCGGAACGACTTCTGTTCACTCGGCCCAACCGAGCGCCGCTCACGGTTTCTTTGTTCACTTCACCCTGGAGTTGTTTGTGCCTGTCATGCAAGCGAGAGAATGATGCTTGATTTTTAGTTGTACAGATTAATATTGTTCAAGTAATGCTAAAAATCCACAAATCTCCTTGTTAGCCGACCTTGCACACCACTGACTGCTTTTACTTGCATTCCAACCGGAGACCTTCTCCATGATGCTTGAATGCTCCACTTCCTTGCAGTTTCTGGAGTGGAAATGAAACGATTCGGTCGTTTCAAATGTAAGCAGTCCTCAGAAGCAGCACGTATCAAAACAAAACTGTAGGTAAAAAAGAGGAAAGGTAAACTTTCCTCAGATTGGGGAGGTTTTTTCAGTTCACTATTTCTCCGGAGTGAATCGGTTTTTCGGGACTGTACCTCTTCTTACTTACTTTTCGCATGGATGGATGGTGACGAACCATTTTCCACATTGATGCTTAGCGAGGCACATTGGTGATGTTTGCATATCAGTACCATTTTCGACAAAGTGCGTTAGAATTGTTGGAAAAAGCTATGGAAGTCCGTTCGAGTTTGGAAAATTTATCAGATTAGTGAAACCTAATGTCCGGTTCATCAGTGAGCGATGATACGTTTCAGATAATTTTCAGCTACTTGCCATAACTATGACGTATTATTTATTTCTGTACCCAAAAAGACCCTAACGGAACGAACGAACTACTGGCTTGTGGGCTTGTCCGAATTCAGTCGTGCGGAGGCTCAGCTCATTACTTTATGTCGACATATCGCGGAGGAAAACGAGATCACTCACGTTCTGGACTCCAAATTTCAACTTTGGGTGGATGATCTAATCGAAGGACTTCGTAATGCAGCTGATTCTTTGTTGAAAGCCCGCACGTCACTTTTGGTGAGTTTACATCGTTTTTCCCCATCATCATACTGCTGAGAAAAAGGTGTTTGCTCCCAGTGGAACGTCTCACAAGGGGGCATTTCTTGTTCAAGAGACTGACTTGTTGATACCACATTTGATGGCGCGCAATTCAGTGCCTGTACTGGCGGAAATAAATATCTTCCTTCTGTCGTTCTTCAAACCCAGCGTTTACTATGTGAAAGCGAATGGTAATATGTAATTGACCGTGACTAGGTATTGAATCCGGCCAAGTTGTGGTCGTGTGAACCGTTGTCACCGGTGATAAACTTGCCTGATAATGGCATAGTGCTTGGTATGTATCACTTTGCACTATTTGTGCACTATTTGGAATGTTCGACCACACTGCTGCTATGTTCCATGTTCACATGGTTATTTAAACCGAACTGCGACTATCCGTGTGATTGAAAACCACTTGATGTATTCACTTAGAACAATACGTGCTCGTTCGTTCCAATGTCCTCCATATCGACCTTCTTCAACCTAGATGGCTGTGCTCTACCCCTTTCTACCCCCTAATTGCGTTTCCCATTTAAACATATGCCCTGACAAGGCACCAGATCAATAACAAATTGCATTACTTTACCATGGATGAGCCGGCTACATGAATGTTCCCGTTCTCATAACTAATTCTAACGACAGATTCAATAGATAGATCAAAGAGATTGACTCCCGATCGATCATGCTGAACTCTGTCTCAAGTCGAACTTCACGCCGGCAACACCAAAGTCTGCGGAGTCTTCGATTACCTAGTTCCCTTATAAACTCATCGTCCAGTTTTCGGAGACAGTGATCAAACCGACGTTGCTGGTTACACATAACTGCATGTCAAACGCTAAAACAACCTTTCCGAGTTTATTGCTTCCGGATATCCCAGCAACGTAGTAGTCAGGTCTCTCATTCCTGTAGAACAGGACGAGTAGGCTGGTTACACATAACTGCATGTCAAACGCCAAAACAACCTTTCCGAGTCTATTGCTTCCGGATATCCCAGCAACGTATTAGTCAGGTCTCTCATTCCTGTAGAGCAGGACGAGTAACAACTCTGTAGCCGCGGATTTTTGTTCTCAGGATAGCCTTTTACATGTCCTACAGAACACTCTTCAACTGGAGGGGCGCTGTTTTGGCACTATGGATCTGAATCTTCGCTTCTTCTTTGTTCGGAACAGTAGAGGAACGAAAGAATCGAGGTGTTTGGATGTTGAGACTTGTTCAATGGGTGCAGTTCGACGTGACTGCCTATTTAGAGAGCGACAAGTCGGCTGAGGGTGTTTTTGTTCCTTGTCATATCGAGTTCGATTAAAGTGACCAAGTGGCCTATCCAGCCGAGTGTCGCCTCTGGGTTTTTCGGGTAAAACGATGTCAACATAATCAAAATTCGTCAGATATTCCAATGCCTGACGAAGGTTGCCCGGTATCGTGGGCTTGGTTCTAGGATCCAGTCGCAAACCCCGGGGAACTTAGTTTTTGATCCGTTATCATGCCAGTTCACTTAAGTCTCAATCCGGGCTGAAAATTGTTCTCATGTGGTGTGGTTCGATAACTAACCTTACATAGTATGAGGCACCATGATGTTTATAAACTTTCGCGGTGTACGTCTTGTGACGCAGTGAACAAAACATGCTTGGCGGTGCTGTGTCCACAGCAGAAGGATTTCCCAGTATGCTGTAGTTGATGTGACCTCAAATTCCGTGGAAGGTTATACTTTTCACCTATGAGTTGAGAAGTCAGACCATGTTGGTTTATCAAACGACCATATTCCAGGGTTGCGAACGCACTCGTGTGTTAAGTTGAGGACTGCTGTTCATTCGGATACTAATCTTTTACCGTTCTTTCATATCACTTTCTGTTCTAGTGTGTCGGTGGTCCGGACAATCGCTGGTTCCAAGCGGAATACGTTGGAATTCGTAGCAGTCTTTGTTTGAGTCTGGCCGAACTCTGCATAAGCGCCAACTTTTTCACACACGTAGGTGTGCGGTCATTTGCTGGCGAGGAGACCACTGGCAACAGCAGTTCACAGCCCACTCCCAAGCCCCTTCATGGTACTCCTGTTTGGGTTAGTTTACACCGAATTTGAACAACAGTCATTTCTGCTCGAATCGTTCTGTGGCCCATGTTTTTCAGCTTCCTTGAGTGGCATTCATTTAATCTTGCATACCTCTTCATTCAAGTGGAGCACTGTTTCTGTACGGCTTCCAACACAACGAAAGGGCAACCCTGGATTATGATCAAATAACATGTAATAACATCCGAGTTGGAGATAAATACGAAGTTTTGACGAAAAGACTACATTTATTCGCAACCCACTACTCTCTGTTTGCGACTCGATTTGTGTTTAAAAAAGATTTAAGCTTACTTCATCTTCCCGAAAGCTGAATGTAGGCTTTATCCAGTGGTCCGTCGTTGTAGAATTACTCGCTGTCTGCTCCAGTTAGGGGTACGTTGTTTTATCGGTTTCCTGCTTGGAGCTCCTGGTGTAACGGTGATACTACTGATGGAGGAGGAATGCGGGTAGTATGTCCTCTCGTAAATCCGCTTTGCATCTCTTTGAAAAGTGAGATCTATAGCGGAATTTGTGGAGTCGCTTTGTAGCATTTGCTTGGATTTGAGCAACAGTCAATGAATATCCAGAAAAGTTCAGGAAGGCGCGTTCAAAGAGAGTATGGATATTCTGTTTTTGCAAACAACATGCGTATGAGAGTTTTGCTTCCCTTTCGAGTAGTCTGTAACTGTTCAGTTGGTATTTTTTAATGAATAACTCCACAGCGAAGGCCTTTTTCCTTTCACTGGTACTTGTCGGCCTGCTTGGTTTGGAGGGAAAGAAGAAGAGTCTTTCATTAAAGAAAATAGCCTGAAAAATCTTCCAAGTTAGAGGTTTGAATAATTCTTTTGGTTAATATGTTTGTTTACTTCCTGACTAACCACGTATGATTGTGTTTGGGAATGAATTAACTACGCTAATAAGTTATTTTTGAATAGGTCTTAGTAGAATGTGGCGCGAAGTTATTTACATAGTGCACACGGTAATCTCAATTAGCCTTCAGATTTTAGTCACTGATGTTTACCACGTCCCACCTTACTCAAAATGTAATGACTCCTCGAAGAGGTTGAGACTACACACTGGCTTTGCTTTATTCTGGTCGTTGGTTTGATGTATCCGTTTCCGGTACCAGGTTTAACTGATGTATCTGCCTTGAATATCTGTGTATTACGTTTGGTAGACGGACACTTGTGTAATCATTCGGGACTTCATAAGAGGTTCTTGGGCATCTCTTTCCATCAGAACGAAATTGTCTCTTGATCTAGTGACATCAGTGTTGTCCTCTCCGTGAACTGCCGTTGAAGGCGTGCAGCGAGTTGTATACTAGGCTGGATACACTCTTGGCTAGCCACATTGCTGTCCAATGAAGATATTCAACCTCGAATAAACGGAAACCGTCCATCCCTTTGAAAGTGCTGTTTAGAACAAAATTTTTTGTGGTGAAATTTTCCGGATGGGTATATAAATTTCAGCTTCTGTATCCAACTGTTACAAAAGATTGGACAAACTCCACAAGAGCTGAAATGAGCGGCTTTGAAATTAAATCATAGTTACGGTTGTTTTGGCGCGTTCACATTCCACTGTATTTCTTTATCACTGCGGTACAAACCACACGTATTTACGAGCACCTCAAAGAAGCCTCAACTTGGTCACTTTGTTTTGTTGTACTCTGCTGGACGATTATTGTAGTTTTGTTTTCAAGCCCCCTGTTCTTTGTATATTACAATTTCTCTTTCAGGTAAAACGCCAGTTGTCCATGTGGTGTGATCTTGATGGGCGTCTCGCATCACTGCGGGCTCAGTGTCTAGACGCCGACCAAACGACACACACACATTTGATCGCGTATCCTTTTTCCGTCACTTTTCATCCATTATTCGCCCTCACCGATCGTGTCAATTTTTGCTGCTGTTGAAGTTTGAGTTTTCAATTTTCTTGTCTGCACTGCGTGTCTCGTGGTTTCTGTACCGCTGAAGAATTATCCTTAACTCCATGCCTTCAATTGTAGTATAAACCAGTTGGTCGGCTTCTTCATCCGCCTGCTTGAATCTATTGATTCAGTCTACAAATCTGACAAGTGAGTTATCACTGCTTCCTAGTGGACCTTTGCAATCAAAAATATTCTACCGTCGAAAATTATATCCACTAGAGAGATGGCCAAACTGCAATAATTTTAGGACCATTCATTGGTTATTGGGGCTCTGGGCATCAGTGATGGGAATCCTGATATCGTGTGTATAGAGGGACTTGTGAGGCGGGCATACTCTTCCTCGATTTCTTTTCTGTTCAGCACAAAAGATTTACATCATCTCACCTCCTATGGACTGGTATCCGTTTCCTCATTCGCCTGTCAAATCCAGGCGATGTCGTTGGACTATCGACATAGATTAGTTGTTGTCAAATGGTTTGCGCTGAGCCGTATGTGCATCCCCTGTGTGTCTGAACTCTCGACTATCTGAAAGCTCGAGGGAATGGACAGGATGGTATACAGGAAGGGCCGCCGACTTGATCAGCTGACGGTCTTTGGTTGCCGAATCAGATGAGGGCAACCAAAAATTTGAACTCCACTGTATGTGGGTCCTGTGGTGTACAACCACCCACCCGACCTCCGTACACATGGGTAGTATTGGTCAGAATTATGTTTGACCTCTGTAACGGAGTTCACGGAGAATCACTTCTAACGCCGTTGTACGGGTAACACTTCTGGAATTTCAATCCGATGGAATAATCTTTAAATTTTGGTTTAAATGACTCTGTACCAGCTGAGGTCAGATGGAGAAGTGTTCTTTTATATCAGGCAACCATACTTGAAGAATTCAGCTTCAGTCACGTCCTCTGCAGCTCCTTTTCTACTTCCCAACTGCATATTTGCCTGAAGTATCCATTCAGTAGCTGGAAGAATGTTGGGTGACTATTTCGTCGCCCTTTGGAGTAGTTTGTCCACCGCGGCCCAATCAACGCTCGTGATTTCGCCCCAGGAGTTTGTTGATTCACTCGTATTTGTTTTTCTGGAGCTGATGTTTGCCCCAGTCCCATATCAACAATATACAGTGTCTGAGTTGACTTAATGTATGGCTCATAAATGGTATGAAGTTTGATACCACTCTACTCAATCTGTTCACTTCGTTTTCTCTGTTATTCATCCTCGATGAGGTTCAGTCGTTTAGTCAGATAAGTTCGAGCACCGTTCAACGTTTGCTTCATTACCCCATTGCCCGACCTGGAAAAAGGAAGCAACAGTGGCTCTGTTCCTTTCATTTCTCAATTGTCTTTTGTGTTGCGTGTTATTTTCAGACTAAATGTGACGTTATTTTAGTGGTGCAAATTTAGTGGATAGTCTTTAATTTAAGCAGCCTCACTGTTAGCGTTTCTGTTCGCGATACAGTGAGGCCCGATAACTCATGGCCACATGCACGTCTCCAACCAACGAATGTGTTAAAGTCTCCCGGAAGTTGGAGGTCACCATTTCTTGGAAGTTACTCACAAAGACTATCAACTTCGGTGTCGAACTTGTTCTGTTCGTTTTTCGATGAGCATGTCGTTCAGGTAAATGGGCTGGTTGCCTTCACATAAATGTGACTAATTCCACAGGGTTCTAGATCTAAGATCAATAGCTAGCTGTACCACAACGAATATAAACAGCCACATCAGTAAGCTGACTCAGGGTGGATAGCATAAGACCTACAGTTTTCAGTGGTGAGGATAACAGTGGAGTCTGTTTACTGCCGTACTCGTCTCGTCGGGAAGTGTGTACACCAACCAGCCAAACAAATTCTCCATTCTCGCTGTGGTAGGATTCAAGTTCACTTCGTAAATTTCGATCACTGGGCGAACGTAATACCAGTTTTAACGCACATGTCCACACGTGTTTTCCCTTCTCGAGCCTCTCTGTTAAAAAGCATTATTGAGTGTCCTGGGTACCTAAAGTTTCGTATCACCACTGCCTCAGAGAATCAAATCTCATGTATTTCCTACTAAAGAGCGACCGATGGTAATCAAACCACGGTACTGTTCGTTTTCAAGGTGATCATTGGGCGACCACAACTCACTTATACGTCCACGCAACTGGCGAATGTGGTTACGTTTAGACACATCACAATACAGATATTGGTGGGTGTCAATGTAACTTTGAGTAGTTTCTGGTGAAATTTCTCTTCCTGGTCTTCCACATATTTCTCAAGTTCCACCCCCCCTCAACCCCCCTACTGTTACATAAACGTCTTTTCACACGGGACTACGTGATACGAATTTCGTGGATGAACGATCAGTACCGTTATATGTTTTCTTAGTCCGAGTTTGTCACGCCGCTGGTTGGCTGCTCGTGGCCAAATGGTTTGGTCTTCAACCACTAGCCGGGATGCTTTGAGTTCGAATTCCCTTGGAGGTTCGTGGGATGCGCACTGCTGATGATTCCGATAAGGACCCCCCTACTGTTACATAAACGTCTTTTCACACGGGACTACGTGATACGAATTTCGTGGATGAACGATCAGTACCGTTATATGTTTTCTTAGTCCGAGTTTGTCACGCCGCTGGTTGGCTGCTCGTGGCCAAATGGTTTGGTCTTCAACCACTAGCCGGGATGCTTTGAGTTCGAATTCCCTTGGAGGTTCGTGGGATGCGCACTGCTGATGATTCCCGATAAGGATAAAACATTTGCACAGTGCTTATCGGCTGCCAGGTACCTACCGACGTCAACTACAGGAAGAAAGCTCGATTGGCAAACGTGCGTGTTCTCTAATATACGTTAACACACCCGAACGCACCCTCGGACTAATGAAAATATGCTGTAAGCAGTAGGCTGATTCCGAAGTTTCAATGACATTTATTATCCCGCGATTGAATTCGATCCATTCAGAAGGGTTGAGTAAAAATGTGAGCTGCTGCATCCTAAGTGGGAGACATCAGCAGTGCGTATCCTGCAAATCGTGCTACTACTGTTTTTTTTTCAAACTTAGACAATTGCCGTTGTGTAGGTTTAACGTATTTCGCCTTCTTCCCTATAGTTATTTTCCAGCAGAAGCTTAAAGTACCTCAAGTTTCCCACCGGATTTCGCCATGGCTTTGCCATACAAGTTAGTTGCAAGATGATGTCTCGTCAAGCAGATGTTTCCGACCAGTTAGTGCTTTGTTTTGCTCCCTTTTTCAGCTGCCAACTTTTGCTTCCTTATGTTGGCCTACCGGCTCAGTCACCTCGAGCCGACCCTTTCATTACTGTTTTGCCAGACCTTCACAAAATTGCACAACTTCATTCGAAGTCCAGTCCAAACCCGCCATCCAAATTTGCTTGGATACCACTTCTTGTTCTCCGCGTTGCACAGGTGGCCTCACACTGGCCACGATTTTTCTTTCAGCGACTTCAGACGACAAACGTACGCCTGGTTCTTCTCCCCAAGGCTGGCAGTGGTCCAGACGATGTGCTGACCATCAACAATGAGGTGGGACACATGGTGCAAGTAATGGGTGTTGTGCAGCAGCGCAGTCGATTGCCAAACAATCAAGTTGCATGTCGTGTAACGGCAGTCCAAGTTGAACTCACTGTCATGGAGGCGACTACAGAAGGTCATAATCGATTGATTCGGCAACATTGTAGTGGAAATCGGCCTGAGCTCGTATTCTTCGCGCAAAGGTCTGCCCAACTCCAGCGTGATTACTTTCATTGTGAATTCTGTGTCCGCTTCCATGGTCACGCGCATCCAAAGACTGGCACATCTCAACAGCAGAGACCACCAGATAAACTCTACTCCATCAGAGCGATTCCGATACTCTTGGACGCCTCGGGTGCACGCTGGCGCCTCACCCGGGCATCGGGTGCGCCGAAGGAAACAGCACTTGTTCGCGTGGAAACATTGCACAGTAATCAGACTGGCATCCTCCCTTCCTCCACAATCCAAATGGAACAATCGGATACCAACACCCCCATCAGCGCCAGTTAATCTATGTACAATAAGGGAACAGATTTGTGTTTTCTATCATGTATATTTTGATGAACAACCTTTCCCTTGCCCATCCATTTCGTTTACTTTCCATGCCGTAGAGCAGCGTTTTCAATTTTTGTATATTGTAAGGCTTAGACATATCACATGGAAAGTATTTCGTGTACAGTTGCTGAAATTGGAGGGCGAATGTGAGGTGGGTTGCAGCTCACAGTCAACGGTGAATACAGGCTGCAGCATGGTGGTACATCCGCGTCCCTTTCAGATGACGGTGATGAATTCGCTGCAGATACGGAAACACGAGAAAGTGTTTAGTGCGAATAATTTAGTAATTGACTGAGTGAACGTAGATTTTAAGAACGCGTTTTAATAAGTTACAAGCCCAGAAAAAGTAAGGTACCGAACATCTGGACGATGTTGGTTCGGAGGTAGACACTACGGAAGGACACTGTCTATTTTTTTTTAAAAAAAAGTTGTCGAAGAGTCGGTCTTTTTCGAAAAAAATAGTCCAGCTGAAACACCCCTTCCAAGTCCAGCTGCACACCACCCGAAAGAAGCATGAGAGGCGAGATACTGCCAGTTTCTTCCCAGTCTAGATAGGGGCAGTCCAGATGAAGGGCTTGGGTCCGAACCACGGACCTTCCGGTAGTAAATTCGCGCCCTAACCACTGAGCCATATCGAGCAATCCTTATAAGAGTGCTGCCTTTATATAGAGAACCTTACGGGCGGTGGCGATATAATGGTTTGTAACTGTGCAACAAGTAGCCGGCGTTCGTGAATTTAAGCGGTCATGTCTTTGCTGTAATAAAATCCTCCAAGACGGTCGCGCTGAGCTGCATATTCGTTTTGAACGGCGGATAATAGATAGGGTTTTGTTGGATTGTCAACTTTAGAAACCAATTTTCTATTTTCTTTCGTCCTGCTTTGTGTACGTCGTTGTTTACAGTCTGATCCGTCCGGGATCTAGACCACCATTTTGACTGCACGCATCAACAACCTCATCTTCAGAGACAGCAAAGATTCTGCATACCAACCATCTCAGCGACTACATAAGACTCATTCGTAGTCGGGAATTATTTGTGACATCTCAGATTTTCCGTCATCCACATGACGTGTACGTTTCTAGTTATGGCTATGTCGAGTAACTCGTTAGCTCATGTCACTTCTCCAGGATTTATTTGGCTGGGCTTGAGCGGCTAGCGGTTAAATTTTTATGCAGCAGTTTCGAATTATTGGTGGGTCCACAATAAATTACAAATAAAATGCTTAAACAAACTCCCCATGAACGAACATGGGCCTCAACATGTGCCCTAGTGCCTTAGATAAGACGTTTCAGCAGCATTCTGAATGTTGTCGGCTAGTAATCTTGAGGTGTCTTGAGGGAAATTCAAGAATAACTCGATGTGAAGTAAGGGTGTCCAGAAAGGCTTCCAACTTGTGCCGTAAAATTCGCAGTGTTTGGCGCCCCACCTCCCGGGACATCTTGATCTTCAGTTGTCTGGAGGATTTCCATCGAGACATCTCTTGACAAAATGCTGAGATACCTTGGCATGGAAAATGAGTCGCTCTTTCGTAGTCTCAGTTTAGTAGATCAAGGATGACAGAACCAGAGGATGACTGTTCAACCATTATCAGTGTGCATATGAATTATGCGATCGATCGTCCCAACCAGGACAGTTACTGGGTCGTCGTTCGATGAGTCGGGCACACCAATCACAAACAAGTGTGAACACGTTCGCCTGTTCAGACGTGATAATTCAGATACTCGAGTCCAGTGCTTCCCTTTGGTGTGGACTCACCGGAATAATTACGCCAGAACAGGAACACGGCCGTTCAAACGAGAGTGGTGTGACTATCAACAAAAGTTTTTTCGCGTGCTATTGTGTGGCAAGAGAGGAAGCCAAGGAAAGCTTGTAACTACTGCTTTGTTGGTTCACCAAATGAGTGTTTCAATCTAGGGGTGCAAGTAACAGTACGGGAACAGCAGTTGCTAGTGACGTCCGAATGCTGCCCTTTTGTTGACGCTAGCCGGTAAACGATTACCTTGTTAAACAGCTCTTCTGATCCCCGCTATGGTCTTTTGGTTTCACTGGCACAATTGGTGTTTATCTTTCAGGGAGAATATTGTCTTGTGTTTGTGGGACTTATTTCCAAATTGAGAGCCTCGGTCTCGTCAAATCATTTTTAAGCATAATCACGAAAGTCCGTTTTCTAGTGGAAACAAAAACCACTCTGGTTAAAAAAAAAGCGAAAAATAAGGTGGAGTTGAATGGAGACTTAGAATACCCTTCACTTACTTCACCATGCGTGCATTTATTTCTACCCATACCTAGGGACCGACCATTTTTAGTCTCTTCTGGGGGAGAGGGGGGTTGCTGCTGAGTTACGCTTCATGGGCCAGGCGAAAGTGATCTATTCGGACGTGTCTCTCCAGCGAGTGGGAGTTGAAGTTACACAAATTGGCTTCAACCACTGAGGATCACCATAGCACATAACTCAAAACAGGAACACTGTTTGTGGATGCCACACTACGCCCATCACTATGAATACCTATCAAGTTTTTACTGTTTGCCTTAACAGACCTTGGTTGCATCTCTCTTGAAAGACTCCTGCCTTCAGAAGTGGTCAATTTTGCTTGGCATTTTGAAGCCTTTTCCAAGAGTTGTGAAACTCCCAGAGGAGACCAGTTTTGGTCGGTGGCTTCCCAGGGAAGGGTGATAAATGTAGAACACCAGTAGATTTAATTTGTCAGAGAATCAATGACACTTCGCTCAATCCCAAAATGACGTGTTTACCCGTGTTAAATTCGCCATTTTTGTCCAATACGACCTGATACTCTTCCACCTTGTAAAGCCACAAAAACATTCAGAATTTGTAACCGATAATAGAGCACTATTCGATACTGAATTTTTTGTATCGCCGTACACGCATACCGTAGTTTTTGGCCACTTTCACAAGGTGTGCATTGCCGAGTGCAGGCAAAACCATACAAGGTTGGAGGGCCGGGTCTCGTAAACCTTCATGTTTCTCTTGCTTTGTGTTTCTATTATTTGGGGAGACGTGATTGTTCTTTCGCGCTCCCAAAATGTGACTTGCGCCGCTCAGTTCAGTGACAAAACTTTCAATACATCAGCAGAATGTTGTGATAAAAGTATATCGTAGTAACTGCGCACACAAAAATAAATGCCGTTGCATATCAGGATAGAGAAAAACACGAGCACTGTCTATCTCTTCGACGATAAGTTTGTAATGCTTTTGTTTCTTATGCACGTATATTAACGAGGAACAATGGAACGACTGACAACATGGGAGACTTGGTAACTACCACTTGACAATGAAAAAATAACAAACCGTCCCAGTTACTTATCCCGTTGGAATTGATCGCTTGTATTGATCCTGAACTCAAAAAATCGAGGAATAACCATAAGTCCAGAGATGGATATTCAAATACCTTCATATGTTCAGCTACTGAAAAACCGCAAGCTGTTTATCAGTAATCCTTTTGTTACAAATATTACGAGTGCAGTATCCGACATACGGAATTTCTGGTCCCAAAACTGCTCCCAGGAGTGTTTGAGACCCATCTTACCAAGTATTTAGAAAAATAACAATTACCTAGTTGGCTTCAGAACCAAAGAACAAGAATATCCATATTTTGGTGTATGACAGACCGCAATGCTCGAGTAGCTGTACGGGAGAAATAATTGTGATCCCAAGCCAAATAAGAAATAAGTTCAAAAATCTGGAGCAAACAATCACTTTATTCACTAGTATTCCTGTTATACCCAGAGGACTAAGAATCAAAGACTTCAATGGATAAATCGGGAATTTCGGAGCCAAAGAATGGATTTTAAGTTCCTTTCAGAAAAGTTGATCGAGGCATTGCAGAAATAACATAAAACTTTGCAAAAATGCCATCGGGGTATCGGTTCATCAACTAATCAGCAACCGCGAATGCGCGCAGTCGAAATTAAAGCATGCACCATAAAAGCGATTCAAATTAATCATAACAAAATGGAGATGTTTTGGGGCAATCTTGCGGTTTCTTAAAACACCAGGTTGCACTCGTGTGAATTTTCGCGTCCGGTGGTCCACTGCATTTTGGGGGTTTCGGGTATACTCCCAAACATCAGGTGCACACAGCACTTGGAAAAATGGGTGAAAATTGCTTGTAGGCCTCTGGAATCTGCTGCCAGTTGCCTTCAGTCTACTACAGCAAATCTAGTGTTACCTATTGGCCGTAAGTGAACTTGTAAAACCACCTTTTCAATGTCCACAGGTAATTCAGCGATACTCCAGTGATTTCCTCCGTCAGAACTAGTGCCGAAAGCAAACAGTCATTCATATATGTGTCTTACTTCGCCACAAAATCAAGCAATATTCTCAATTTCTCTGGTTTGTGAGAATTAAAGTGACTGGACCTTACCGCCGTATGACGGTTTGTGCACCTCTGTAACCCATTAAGCTGTAAAGGGGAGAGTACCAGTGGCACTCATAGAGCCTTTTACATCAGACCGGTAAATTGGTATAGATCTGACTAACAGTGCCCAGGTCCTACAGATTTGAGGTCGTAACATATGTAACGATTTGCTCCTTAAAAATTGAGGCATCTATGACGGTAGTACACCAGTCACGATTGATTTGCTTTTGGGTCAAAGGATTTAACAATCCCAGTCGTCCTCCGGTCTAGACCTGGGCACCCTGGCGGTATTCAACCCTACGTATAACGATGGGATGTGCATTTAAAAATGATCTCATGCCACTGTGGGTGTCACATGACATCATCTGATGGATTACCTTATTTACTGAACACATCAGGGTGGATAAATTGATGTCTCTGTTCTTTCTCTTTCATATATTCGTTCTTTTCCCCCTCCTCATTCCGTTTCCGGTGAATCTCCGTAGGCTTATTCTTAAGGTCGGACAGATCCGTTCGCCGCCCATAGCCGTTCGCTTCGATATCTACGGTTAACTCGGCCAACACGATCACAGGCACTTCGGAATCTTTTTTCGAATTCCGTCGTTCATTTCATCCGTCGGCCTTTGAAGTTCGCACTCTGAACTGTGGTGGACCACAGGCTGCTCCTGGATGTACGTTGAACTAGCTTTCTAGTGACGTGCGCTGTCTATTTGAAAAGAGGATTCAAGACCTA